TATATATATATATATAGTTATTGGGATATGAGATATTGGTCATATTGCACAGCCCTACAGAAAATATTTGTCTTTTTTTTTTTTTTTAAACATCACAGAAACTTTGTATAGGAGAAGGTCTGGAACTGTTTTAATTTTAAAACGAATCACACCAAAATTGAAACATTTTCACACAGTGGCTGCACATGACAGACAACCACAGATGCAGATCTTGTGAACCTGATTACATGAGACAAGCCACAAAAGTTGATATAAAGATTTTTTGGGGATATGGGAGAGTGTGTAGGGAGGCTAGAGATTCTAACATTCCATTGACACCTAGTGTAACAGATCTGATGTTGATAGCATGATGATGAAAGTTTGCTTATCCTAAAGTTGACGCAGTATAAATGTTGGATTGAGCTATTTACAACGTTGGATTGAACCATATCCAAATATGTTTTACCTTTAAAGGCGAACAGGACTCTTCGTGCTCAAAATGTTGACCTCGTTCGAGAAAACTTGTGGCTAAAAGCTGAAGTGGACAGTAGGTCACCTCAAAAGTATGTATGCTTTCAAGATTTGTGCTGGTGTGTGTTTGTCACAGTTGTGTGAAAATTATGCAAATGTGCTTACTCCGTGAAGAAATGATTCAAAGTCCCTGCCAAGTGTTCATCTGATGTCCAGATGAATGATTTTCAGATTTGAATATAGAGATGGATTGCAACATGATGAAATCTGTCACAGTTTGATTTAATGGTTCTTTGTCTCGGTAGGTTTGGCAGGTACACTGTGGCTGCACTGGAGGCAAAGATCAGCCAGTATGAGCGGGATGTGGACCACTTGAGAAAAGCTCTGGAGCGCAGTGATAAATACATTGAAGAGCTAGAGTCCCGGGTCTCTGAAAATGAGAGCAAGTGTGACAAGAGGGTAGCCATTAAGAGCACTGATGATATATGTCACCAGACCATGACTGATGTTCTGACTGACAAGGGGAGAGCCGACCAAGCTTGCCATGTGAAGGGGGGACCCACACGGATTGTGACAATGAGAAAAAGCCTGAGTGAAATGGGAAATTCTATAGTCTGCACAAAACCTGACAGCGAGATGGTTGATTTGTCAGGTCCTTGTGGATTTCACTTGACAACTGCTGTAAAACAAACTGTACCCAGTACGTTTTACAAAGATCAGATTTTTACTCCAGATATTTTGTACGTGGATAATTATGTTTCTTCAGTCCCATCGACATCTATGAGTTGCCTAAGTCTAAAGAGTCCAAATGTTCATATTGACAAAAGGACTCAATGTAAGCCCTTGTCCTACCTGAGAAAGCTCAGCTTTGATGATTGCTGCAGTAGCACATCAGTGTCAGAAAACAAACATTCAGACACATCCAACGTCAATCACAGAACGGCCATTAATCATAAAGTTAACCTGAAATCCTCCAGCCCATTATTCTGGGGAACATGTAGCCTAAACCCAGACTCTCCTAGGCCGACCTCTCTAACTAAAGCCGATGAGGAACAGAAAGACTCTGAAGAAGAGCATGCCAAGGCCAGCACTTTACAGTGTAGGAATGACTGCAAAATGGAAAGTCTTAAAATGTCAAGTGAGGTTTCCATGGATGCCGCATACTTTGACAAAGTTTCTGAACTGGATTCAATGATGTCAGAGTGTGAAAACTATAAGGTCCCTCATTACTCTTTTGATTCCACACAGTCCTCTGACTTTGATATTTCTTTGATGCAAGAGCTTGATGCCAGCACAAATCTCATAAGGCCAGTGAAATTTAATGTTTCACCTAGCACTGCCCTCTGTGGTATAAGGGCACAGATTGGTGGGACTCTCTTGAACCCCAGCATGGAAGACATTTCTTGTGCTGGAATCAAAGATCCGGTCATCATTGAACCCCTGACTGACATTTCCTCAACAAGCAATTTTGCACTTCAGCCTCATGAATGGTCTGAGACAAGGACCACATACTTACTGCTGTCTGGTCAACCCAGTTCTCACCTCACCCAGGTTGACGATCATAATTTAGTGGAAAATGATAGAGCACAAAACGGTCAATCAACTAAAAGAAAAACTGCCGAATGTCATGATGTGTCAAGTCCCTCTAAAGTTTCGAAGTTGCTTTGAGGCTAACATTTTGTATTAAGACTATACTTTTCAGCTTTCAGATGATTCTTAATCTTAGGTAATGCAGGCATGCACTGTGTATCCTAAAATTTTGCTTTTGCATATCCTGATCCCCACCTGCCCAGCCAAGCAGAAATGTTTGTAAGATGGGAGTTTTGCAACTTCAGTTCGTAATGAAGATTAATATTGGTTATTAAACCTTGCTTATGTGCAAAATAAACAATTTTTTTATGAATAATACAACAAAATAAAATCATATTCAGTAAATGCATCATTTGTCCCAAAAGTGATTAGTGGATTATACAGATGTTTTAAATACATTTCTTACATGTATACTTAGCCCCGCCGACTTCGACTTTCTATTTTTATTTTAAGAATGTATTACATACATATGTTATATTAAAATAACCTAAAAAGGGGGAAAATATTGTTTGGTTCATACTAGTTGTACCTTTTATTCTTCCAAAATGTGCTTACTTTGTCTCCCAAATATTAAAGCAAGCCCAGCTAGCTTTTATCCACCAAAAATGAAAAGAAAGAAAAAGATCATTGTGACATGCTACTGCATTAAACTACAAGAAACTCTAAATATGCATAACTCCAATTTTGTCAAAAGTTATGAAAATGCTAGATGGTACACTCAGTGAACTCATTAAATATCTTAAATACTTGATTAAATTATCTCCTGTCACATCATTAAAACTGTCATCAACACTGCTAAACAAATTGATGTAATATCCACCATAACCTTGTACACAGACCTTAATTAATTAATCCCAATGAATTAACCCTTCATTAAGTTAAATTGAACACAGTTCATGAATTAAAGTTTAATGTAGTGATTAAACGCTTGTAAAATATACATGGATTTGTTACATTAGTATAATTACCCAAAGCAATGTACATCTGTTTTTTTTCATACCTTACACTCTAAAATGAAATAGAATTAATTATTTTTAACATGTTCTTTGCATGTTCTGCATGCTGCAAAGAAAACATTAACACAAATTACATATTTAACATTACTACTGTACTACTACCCACATCGATAAGTAAGCTTTAATGATAAAGTTTTCTAAAGTCAATATAAATTCAAGAAGTTTATACAACTCAAGTTACCATTTTGTAATTTCATGTTAGTAAAATTTCATGAGGTTTGCTTCTAAATTCGACTTTGTATTTATTGTATTTAGGTTTCTTGCGTATTAACTAATAATACGCATCAGTGATTTAAAGTAAATTTGGGCCTGCAGTTTTGAACCATGTAAAACGGATTCCGTGTCTTTAATAATGCGCTGGGTCTACAGGTGTTGAATACACGCTTTTCTGCCTCCAATAAGCTATACCGACTACTGTGCTCTACATATTGACTTAAAAACAAAAGGAGCTTCTGTGCCTAACGCGCTTCGTATTTGTCAAACCGTGGTGTTTAACGTCTCGCGAGAAAAGCCGCATATGCTTGACGAGATCTGAAGGGCTCAGGTGTAAGAGCTCCTCTTGTCCCAGCAGTAAGGAAGAGTGAACGGATAAGTGCGACCGAGAGCCTGCAGACACTGCTGTGTGATCTTCAGACTCAAACCGGAACTCAGCAATACAAACTATTGCATCATTATACCACAACGAGATCCGTAGGGTTCTTAGTTTTTTTTTTTTTTTTTTTTTTTTTTTAATTTGTTGGCTTAATTTTTAAAAAGCTGTAAATATGATGTCGATGAACAGCAAACAACCACATTTTGCTATGCATCCAGCTTTACCTGAACACAAATACACCTCTCTGCATTCCAGCTCAGAAGCAATAAGAAGAGCGTGCCTACAAACTCCACAGGTAAATACACTAAACTTTTCGGATTATTTTATACCAGAGCATGCGTGTATGGATAATAATAATAAAATAATAATAATAATAATAATAATAATAATAATAATAATAATATACATTGTGCACCCTGTCCAGTTAGGAGTGGTATACCGCGGCAATGCTGGAGACCTTTTGAAAAGGATGGTTTCCCTCTGACATTTCTCTTATATTCATTCGGAAATTCGATATTATACAATTACTATTATTTATGTGTTTTGTGTTGACAGGATTTCCCAGTCGAGTGTAACAAGTGTAACATATCCATTTCCCCTGTTTTTATTTCTTACTCGCTTTCTGAACACAGCTACAGAGCAATATATTCGCTAGCCTGGATGAAACTATTCTGGCCCGGGCCGAAGCCTTGGCGGCAGTGGATATTGCAGTGTCTCAGGGCAAGACCCACCCGTTCAAGCCCGATGCGACTTACCACACCATGAACAGCGTGCCATGCTCGTCAACTTCCACCGTGCCACTTGCACATCATCACCACCACCATCATCATCATCACCATCACCAGAACCTCGAACCCGCGGATCTTATGGACCATATCAGTCCTCATTCGTTGACCCTCATGACTGGAGGACACGATGGGGCAGGTGGTGGTGGAGGAGGCGGCGGAGGAGGTCTAGTATCCTCCGCTGCGCACCCTCACTCACACATGCACGGCTTAAGCCACCTATCCCACCAGGCTGCTATGAACATGAATTCACCACTTACTCATCATGGACTATTACCGGGCCACCACGGAAGCGCTCAAGGTGCGTCGGGACCTGCGAATAACGGGCTTCCTTCTATGAATGATTCGGACACCGATCCAAGGGAGTTAGAAGCTTTCGCAGAGCGCTTCAAACAACGGAGAATCAAGCTTGGGGTAACCCAAGCGGATGTTGGTGTAGCCCTGGCAAATCTTAAAATTCCTGGAGTGGGTTCTCTTAGTCAAAGTACAATTTGTCGATTTGAGTCGTTAACGCTCTCACACAACAATATGATAGCATTGAAGCCAATTCTTCAAGCGTGGTTGGAAGAGGCCGAGGGGGCTCAGAGAGAGAAAATGAACAAACCTGATATTTTCAATGGGGGAGAAAAAAAACGCAAGAGGACCTCCATAGCGGCTCCGGAAAAAAGATCATTGGAAGCATACTTTGCTGTTCAGCCTCGACCTTCATCAGAGAAAATAGCTGCAATAGCAGAAAAATTGGACCTGAAAAAGAACGTGGTACGAGTGTGGTTTTGTAACCAAAGACAAAAACAAAAACGGCTGAAATTTTCTGCAACGCATTAATTAAGTGTAGCTACTTTTACCACAAATATAGGGACCAAGTAATACACACATCGTTTCAGTCTTCCTTTTTTGCCGAAGGCTTTTCGTGCGATGTAGAGATTATTAAAATAATCAGTTTTGTGAGGCGTCCACGTTTGTCTTATTATTTTCACATTATTCGTGAATGTGAAGCATACAAATAACAGGTAATCCACTTCATTTTCTTTCTCTGTTGGTTGTATGGAAAACACGACTTAAGTCCATGTTGCCTTTTAAATTCCACTGTCAAATGAGGAGACCAGATAACACTTTTAAAAATGAAATAGCAATTATTAGCATAACAGTGGCATCGAAGCAAATAAGAACCTTTCACTAGCATGCGAGACACCACTGCTGTCATACAAACTTTAGTGGAATTTGCCTGGTTAGTCCAACGGATCCAATTGCAAGTTGTAAACAAAAGAATGTGTTCATCGCAGTGGAGATAACTATGAAATGATAAGAGCATTTAAAGATATACCTCCTTGTCGATAACAGTGGTATGGGGTGTGAATTATAATAATAAGAATTATTATTATTATGATTATTATGCATTATGAATAGGCTATATCACCACTACTACTAATACACTGGGAATTTAAAGTTAAATTTTAAATATTTAAATTTTTTATCCAGAGATGTATTTGTTCATACAGTGTATATCATTTCAGTCATTGCCCAATGTTGTAAAAAATTTGCATGATTAAAAAATGAAATTATGAAAACTGAAATAAGAATTTTGCCATATGGGTGTAATGTAAAGTTGATTATCAAATTTTTATTTAAAATTTGCACTAAAATCTATAGTTATTTAAAGGTACGTTAATCAGATTCACCGAAATGGGCTCCTGTACTGTATATACAAATGACAAAATCAGTCACTTTTTTATTATTATTTTGGCTTGTCCAAATGTAATTTTACATTTGCATGATTCCAGTGGGTTCTGATAAAAACTGACAAGTCTGTGATATGGTTTGCTGTGCAAACACTCTATGCATTACATTCTTAAATAAAAATAAAATCAAGCACTACACATAGTACCTACAAATAGTCACTGTTTACTGCCCGTTTCCACTTATAACAACTTTTTGTCGTGTTGACCGTTTAAAGAAATTACGAGTAATATTTTATTTGGTGCACTTTATGTTTCTAAATTGTGCTTCTGTGTTCATCATGCAGTGCCTATCCTACTACTGTGTTCTGTTTATTTATTAATTTATTCGTTTATTTGTTTTGGTGTTTGTTTATTCATTATTGTCTCACAGGTATCCCCCTTTGTTGTTTTCTCTCTATTACTTTAAATTAAATTAGGCCTAGTTCTCTAAGCCAAATCTAGTAACAGGGATATGTGTCCCGGATATCTTGCAAATAAAAAAATACAAAAACGTAGTTGCTTTGTGTGAAATCTTTTTTCTTGTCATGCAGACGTTAACTGCCAAAAAAATCTTTTTAATTATTATTGTTTGAAAATACGCATGTCTTTTAAACTTAGCTTATAATAAGTACTGATATTAATTCCTCTTAAAGGTTACAGTTATACGAGGTACACAGTGGTTGTGTATGGCTCAGTACTGAAAGTGCAATAAATTGACCGTATGTCTGTAAAAAGTTACCACAGAAACAGAACAAAAATCGACTCCTGTTGCACATTATTATTATTATTATTATTATTATTATTAATAATAATAATAATAATAATAATAATAATAAAGGCAAGTTCTCTTACGTTTTATACTTTATGGCGTCGCCCTTCATATTAGTTATTTCCTGACAATTCCCAAACTAAATTCTGTAACACTTGTTTGTACTATTTGTTTTCTTTACGATTTCTTTCCTTTTATTGGATTTAAAGAAAATCCCCTTAAATGGTCGTTTAAAAGTTCATAAATATTATTAGTTAATGGTAATTTAAAAGTTCAAAAAAACGAATGTGTTGAAGAACATTGAATTATTAGCAGCTTTAGGTTATTAGCAACTTTAACCAGCAGCAATAGTAATAATCATCATCATTCTTCTTCTTAGTCTTCTTCTTAATAATAATAATAATAATAATAATAATAATAAGCTCAGCCAAACGGCAATAAAGAACAGACAAATTTAGACTCAACTGTCACCACCAGTCAGAATATAGCAAGAAGGGTTAATCTCGGAAAGAGAATAGCAAAAAGAACAACTAGCCTACATTTGTGTTTCAACTGGTCAATTATACTTCGCTTTTAAGATTATTCTTCAAAAAATCAAACGGTACTTCTGGGGAGCGCTTCACATTTCCTTCTTTTACAATGAAATGTTAAATGCGGGCGATGCAATATTAATCGGTCGTTGCTGATATAAAATGCAATATTTTAAGACAGCTAACGGGGTTTTGAAAGAATCTTCTGATGAAAGTGGTCAGAGCTGTACACTAGAGAAAAGCCACGTATTTATTGCTTTGTTTGGCTTTTGGCTACGGAGAAGAGAACGTTATGTGAGTAAAGACATTTTGGCCTACTTTATTACAGTGGAGACTTTTACATCGAAAGTAATTCATACATACATACACATTATATATTTTTTCGTATATACCCCTTCATTAAGTTTTTATCATACTTATTATGTAAAGTAATCCTGTTTCGTGTGAATTCATTTGCGGTTTTTTTCAGTTGGAATAAAAGCTCTTTTTCTATTTTGTTATTTTAGTACAGTTTTTATTTTTAATCTAAGTATAGCTTAAATTGTTCCATCAGTCATTGATCAATTATGACACTTCACTTATTTAGCTTCTACATTTCTTATGTTTGTATTTTTATTATTTTCTTAATATTTTGAAAACTTACTTGAAGAACCCTTTTCTTATGCAAGCCTACTGTACTTCACAATACACTTCAACAAAACTCCACGATACGGTAATATTTCAGCACCATGAACAGCTCCCTTGCAAATTGAAGAGTAATGCATTATTGAAAGCCTATATCAAACAGCTCTGGGGTGCTGTCTTTCTGTGCCTCAAAATGAAGTCTGACTGTCTGACTGCACTAAAGCCTCTAATATGTTAATAGCCGTAGGGGATGCCTTAGGTACCAATCCCAGCTGCCTCGTGCACCATATGTCAGTCTGTTTGCCACATGGATCTATTAATCAAGAAAGTTTTCATCAGCAGAACTCCACAATATCCCACCTTCAAAATTCATCCAACAAGAGTAGAAATCAATCTTTGTAAGGGGAACATGTTTCCTGGTCTTGGATGAGACAATAAGGTGATCAGAACCTTGGAAAGTTATGGTTAACAGAAACTGTTCCCTACAATTCAAACTGTGCCATATTGTCATTTAGTTCAATTTCGGTTGTATTGTCTTCTTTCACACAAAATAGCCTGTTAATTGCATATACCATGGGTGTCGTTAGGTCCGATCAATATAGCCCCGAGTATTTTAAGCCTAGCCACGAGTATTTTAACCCCCATGCAAATTTTTCTTCATTCAAAAAACAGTAGAGCAAACTTGACCTACCCCTGATCTTTTCAATAGCGAGAAACTCCCCAGGCATATACTATCTGTGCAATAATATAATTTAGTATAGGCCTAAATAAATTAATTTATCTGGAGCGCAAACTTTTAAATAAATAAATGAACAAACAAACAAATGAATGAATGAATGAATAAATAAATCAGGTTACAGAGACATGTTTTTTGAACTTCTAAAATGAAAAACAACATCTGTAGTGGTATAATTAACACAAAAATTTCAAACTCATTGCACATTATTTGGGAAATGAACTGCAGTAAAGAAAAAAATAGGGGCATCTTGGATGTTGCAGGACTCTCGTATTTATCAATTTCATGAAAACTTAACAGATACCTTTTTTTAGCATTGGTTTTAATTTTTAAAAATTAGGCTACCAATCGGGAAGAAATTAACCAAAAATTGAATGCAAATAGCATTTATTTTACTATCAGACACACAACGATTTGTTAAGGTGTGTCTGTTGTTTATATACTCATATAATGCTTAATATCTGAAAGGAATATGTAAGTCATTTAGAAACTAGTTCAATTTCGGTTTTATTGAATCTTCTACATTTAGGGTTGTATCTGAAAGGAATATGAAAGAAAAATTATTATTAATAGTGAATATGAATGAACTTCTAAAACAAACTAATGTTTAAATATATACACACACCAAATATTTTTTTAAATATTAATGTAAACTCATTTGGATAGACTTGAAGAGCTTCTTTCCACTCATTGGACTATCATGCTTATGATAAGAATGATCACGAAGACTGACCTCAGAATAGAAATGTAATCACTGGGGCGAAGGTGTAGATTCTTGAAATCTGTATTCATTTCAGCCCTCTATTTGCTTTGTAGCCAAGCAGGACCAATGAGCCTTCAGTCTTCAACCAATGTTGACGCAGCTCCCAAATTCAACTGAAAGAATTGTAGAAATGCTGGGGATGCTGTAAAGCGCTTTGGGACAATGTAATGTTGTGATAATGCGCTATACAAAAATAAATTTGTTGTTGTTGTTGTTGTTGTAGAAACAGATGGACAGCATATTTATCTGATAAATCCATAATTTTAACAAAAAAAACTATTTGAGGGACCATACTTCACCCCTTATTCCATGTATTATGATGCATTCAGAAATATAGAATGACATCAATAACCTCTTTGCATGTAAAAAATGGGTGGCGTTCATGATCTTTCCATTATCTGAACTTCAAGAACGTGTTTCTTTTTTATTGCATATTTTGAATACGTAGTCTCACACAACTCACTATGTACTGAACAAAAATACACAACTGTTTCAGGTTCATTTTAAGTGATGAAATAAGTCACAAATCAATAGAACAGGAGTGCCAACTGTGGTACAGACTCAGCCCATCATGAGACTTGTCACTTGGGAGCCCATCAATACATGTTACATGTTTCATGCGCCAATAATCTTTGAAGTGACAGTAACTCTTTAATGAGTCTTAAAGATTTATCAACCTGGCATTTATCCCTCTAATACTGGATTCCTTGAACAACTTTGACAATTGATCTTCTTGATATTAAAGTATTTGTGTATATGTTGTATAGTTGTCTCATACTGCTGGGCCACAGTGACGCTAGTGTGCTTTAGCATTGCAGTTCTAAAGTTTCCATGACATCATTTGGACAGGAAAAAAAGATTCCAGGGAGAAGCAGGCTAGTCATTCAGAAGCACATTAAATATTTTATGAAGAGACAGAGAAGATAGGAAAGAAAATGGTCAGAAAGGTTAGTTCAACTCAATTTACAGAGCTTGGGAATGCTTTGGCTAGGCAGAAGTAGGGAGGAATAAATGTTGAAATCCACCTCTACTAGCAGCAACTTCACATTCCTCACAGTCTCACTTTAATTTACTCTTCTTCTATATGGATATTATACAACAGTATTGTATTTATAATATATTTGCACAACTGTGGAAGAAAAACATCCACAGATTAACTGGCATAACACTTCAAAATTCAACATTATTTTCAGACTATAGAATATTTCTACTTTATTGTTAAAAAATATTTAAATTACTATTACTTATTACTGTCCTTTCACATATTTGGAGGAAGAATCTTTGAGTAATGCATAATTAAGCCCTCATTATATACATGAATGGAGATTAATGTGCTGATTGGGCTACCAACGGATAGTCCATTGTGTTTCAGATGGAAACAGCTTAGCGTTGGGCTTGGCAAAACTGTTAATTAATTACAGCTTTGGATATATTATACTCCCCAATTCTGAGTGTTTGTTTTTTAAAACAAATAATCTGTATTTAATATCCATCATCCATATCTAATTTGTGTCAAAGGTACTTAGATGTTAAGGTAATTCATTACAATCTAATCTTGGCTGGCCAAACTGGGTCATGTGGAGTCTCATCTCCTTGATAATTGTAATGCACACTCGCAATAATAATGATTTTAAAGAAATCCCTGGCATAATAATGACATATTAAACATTTATTCAGTGTGATAGAATATGGGCACCCCTGCATTTGTGAATTCTGAACCTAATGATTATTTACTAATGATTATGAAGTTACTCTATTGTTCTGTGAAGAACCTCAGGGACAAATATTCCATTGAGCTACACAACATTCAGCTCAGTGAAACAATACAGAATATTCAAAATTTAATCTATACCACGTATACATCTGTTTCTGTGTATTTAGATAGAACTCTTCATCATGCCATTCTGTATTAAGAAAATTCCATCTTTGTAAAATGTCACATCCTTTCTAATGAACATTTT